TAGAAGACCCAGAAATAAAACCATACACTTACAGTTATCTGATATTTGATAAAGGAGCCAAAGATATACAGTGGAAAAAAGATAGCTTCTTCAATAAATGGTGTTGGGAAAACTGGGCATCCATATGCAGAAAACTAAAGTGCATCCCTATTTGTCACTATGCACCACTCTCAACATCAGACCTGAAACTTGGAAATGACTTCAAGAGGGAGGAGAAACACTGGAACTTATTCTAAGCATAAGCAGAAACTTTTTCAAGAGTCTCAAGGGCACCGCAGATAGAGAGAATTGACAAATGGGATTACATCAAAATAAAAATTTCTACAGCCAAGGACATGGTTACTAAACTAGAAAGACAGCCCACAGACTGGGTAAAGATCTTTACCAACAATACATCTGACAAAGACCTAATATCCAAAATATTGAAGAAGCTCAAGAAACTAACCACCCACTCAAAAGAATCTAATAAACCAATCACTAAATGGGCAAAGGAGCTAAGGAGAGACTTCTTAGAACAAGAGGTAAGAATAGCAAAGAAATATAAAAGGAAACACTCAACATCCCTGGCCGTTAAGGAAATGCAAATCAAAACAATTCATACACCACTTTACCCCAATTAGATTGGCCAATATCGTGGATTCAAACAACAGCAAATGTTGGTAGGATGTGGGGTGAAAAGAACCCTATTGTACTGTTGGTGGGAACGGAAACTAGTACAACCACTCTGGACAGCAGTCTGGAGGTTCCTCAAAACACATAGATCTTCCCTACAACCCAGTCATACCACTCTTAGACATCTACCCAAAATATCACAAGCCAGCATACCATAAGAATAATTACACATCCATGTTCACTGCTGCACTATTCACAATAGCCAACATATGGAAACAGCCCAGATGTCCTATAATAGACGAGTGGATCCAAAAAAATGTCATACCTATACGCAATGGAATTTTATACAGCCATTAGAAAGAATAATAATATGTCATTTGCAAAGAAATGATGGACTGAGAATAAATCATGTTAAGTGAGGTAAGCCAAGCTCAGATAGATAAACAGCACATGTTTTCTCTCATATATGGAAGCTAGATCTAAAATACACCAGGACATAATGAATTATACAGGATTCAAGGCATTCACAGTGAGACCAAAGGAGGATAGTCATAGGGGAGGAAAACAAAGGCGCAATACCTATGTGCTGCTGATCATATAAACAAACTCCAGGAAATGCAAACAAGAGTTTTCTTTTTGTTGTTTTTACTTTTCTTTTTGTTTTATTCATTTATCTGTAAGGGGATAGACACAGAAATGGAGAGACATCTCCCTTCCTGTATTACAAATGATTTAAAAAAATTTTAAATACATAAGGTAATAATATATGCAATTGTATCTGGGAGCTATAACAAAAACATAATACACTTCACAATAGCAAAATGATGTGAGGTGCAAAGCTGGAGTAGAATACAGAAGTTACATTAGACAGAAGTCTACATAAATAAATTAAAGCATTAAGAAATAGGTAATATAGCCAGGTGTGATGGCTCATGCCTGTAATCCTAGCTACACAGTCTTGAGATCTGAGAATCACAGTTTGAAGCCAGATTGGGCTTAGGAAACTCCATGAGACTCTATCTCCAATAAACTACTAAGAAAAAGACAGAAGTAGTGCTGTGGCTCAAGTGGTAGAGCACTAGCCTTTAATAAAAAAAGCCAGGCCCAGAGTTCAAGCTCCAGGTCCAGGAAAGGAAGAAAAGAAACAAAGAAAAGAAAAGGAAAAGGAAGGAGGGAATATAAATACCTACTCTTTTTCTCTACGCTTCTTTAAGATATATTAAATGATGTAATTACAATAATAAAGCAATCTATTGGGGGATTTGTAACACATTATTTATAATATATGTAACAGAAATAACACCAAAAGAAAGTAAAAAGAAGAAAGAAGGGAGTAACATAGGACTAAAGCTTATTACACTAGACTTAATTTACTATAAATCACGAGTATATTCTGATCAATTGATATTATTAGCTTTAGAGTCAAGAATAAGAATTTAACTCTTCCATGCAATTGTAACCCCTCTGTACAGTATGTTCACAAATAAAATAAAATTTAATTAAAAAAAAAAGAATTTAACTCTTAAAAATTTCTCTAGAACTTGTTGTTACTATAAAATATTCACTTAGTGAATAAAAAGTGGTAAAGGAACAAAAGAATAAAAACAGGAGTATTCCAAAAAAAGTAAATGAGAAAACTTAAGTTCTATCAATCATGACATTAAAATATAGCTAAATATCACATCAAAAGTCAGACTGCCAGACTGAATTCAAAATTGAAAAACTCAATATACAACTATGCTACTTAACAGAAGATACATTTTAGATTAAAAAATTTAAATATAGATTCAGTGATGAAAAATAATAAGTTATAAATATGAAACATAAGAGCTAAAAAAATATCTACAACATACATCAATACAGACATTAAACAAGAAATGTTGCTAGAAATAAACATATAAGTCTAACAATAGATCGATTCATCAAGAACAGGAATAACAACATATATGAACTTCATATCACAATCTCAAAATACAAAAAGCAAATCAAAGAGAAAAAAGTGAGAAATAGATTAACAGTTGAAGATTTTATTACCCTCTTTTGAAAATGAAGAAAACAATGAGGTATACCAACAAGGATACAGAAGACTTGAATATATAAACCCACTAGAACTAAGAGACATCCATAGAATATTCTTCTCAAGCATAAACTGTACATTCTAAGGATAAACTATGTGTTTAAGCCACAAAACAAGTCTCAATAACTTCAAAGGGCAGAATAATCACACTAAGTACATTTTCTAACAAAACATGAATTAAGCCAGACATTGGTGGCTCATGCCTATAATCCTATTCAGGAGGCTGAGATCTGAGGATTTCAGTTCAAGGCCAGTCCAGGTAGAAAAGCACCTGAGCCTCCTAACTCCAATTAACTTTAAAAAATAAAAATAAAAAGAAGTAAAAAGCTATCAGTGAAACTGTGGCTCTAAGTGGTAGAGTACCAGCCATGAGTAAAAGAAGTTCAGGGACAGAGCCCAGTCCCTGAGAGTTCAAGTCCCAGAATCCACACATAAAAAAGAAAAAGAGAACTGAACTGAGTGAAATCAATAACAGTAGGAAATACATAGATATATGGAATTAAACAATACATTCCTAAACCTAACAAAAAGAACAATGAACAAAACTCACAATGGAAACTGCTTTTAGATTGATTAAAACCAAACACAAGAGATTTATATTGTTTAGTTAAGTGTCTTGGAAAATTATAATGCTATAAATAACTATATAGGGATATTAAGTCACTATCCTAACCACAATTAAGAAAAAAGAAAACACACAAATGAAATCTAAAACAGTAGAAAGACTAAAAAAAAATTTAATAAAAAAAGACAAGAGAATTCAAAGTTTATTTAAGAAGATCAGCAAAACTGACATTTAAATACTCAAGAAAAATGGAGGAAAAATTGAAGATTACTTCAGGAATGAAGGGGGCATTATTACCAATCTAACTGAAATAAAAAGGATTGTATGAGAATATCTTACACAGTTCCAAAAGAACTAAAGCAAAGGTGGTAGACCAGCTGCCTGTAGACTATCCCCAGGACCACAAAACAAAACAGTACTACCAGAAAGAAGGAAGAATTGGAGAGGAGAGGGATGGAGAAAGAAAAGGAGGAAAGGAAGGAGAAGATATAGGAAAGGAGGGAAATGACAAGTGGGGGGTGTGAAAAGAGTGATTTGGTAGAATTTATGCTGAACTGAACATGAGATGCAGTAAACCAAGGAAAAGGGTTAACTGGTAATTCTGAGATTGAAAGCAATGATTTTATAATGCTGTCAGCTTTAAAAAGCTTAGTGGTAGTAGCTGGGCACTGGTGGCTCACACCTGTAATTCTAGCTACTCAAGAGCTGAGATACAATGATCAAGATTAGAAACCAGCCCAAGCAGACAAATCCACGTAACTTTTTAATCTCTATTTAACCAGCAAAAGCCAGAAGTAGAATATGGTTTAAATGGTAGAGAACCAGCTTTGAGCAAAAAAGCCAAGGGAGAGGACAAGTGCTAAGTTCAAGCCCCAGTACCAGTATAAAAAATAATAACCCTTAAACTAGCTGGACATGATGACATATATATAATCCCAGCACAAAGAAGGCAGAGTCATTAAGATTGTTGAGTTCAATGCTTAGTTACACAGGAAGTGGAGAGCAGTCTAGAATACATAGAAGACCCTCAATGGAACCTCACCCCCGGCCACCCCATTATAAAAAGAAGAAAAAAAAAAAAAGGAGGAGGCAGTAGCTAGTGCTTTGGCTCAGTCATTCCCCCAGAGGCCTCAGAACAAGGAAAGCCAGTAGTGTAACTTTCAGTCTGATAAAAAAAATAAAAAAAAAAAAAGGCTGAGAACCTTAGGAATCCACTGGTGAAAGGCCAGCACTGGTAGAAGGCCAGAGAATCAGGAGGTACAATGTCCAACATCAAAAGAATGATCTTCCAGCTCTAGAGCAAACAAATTTGCCTTAATCTACCTTTTCTTCAATCCAAAACTCTGCCAAACTGAGTTGGCTGGTGGCTCACACCTGTAATCCTAGCTACTCAAAGAGACTGAGATCTGAGGATCACCGTTCAAAAAGCCAGCCTAGGTAGAATAGTCCATTAGACTCTTATCTCCAATTAACTACCAGAAAACTGGAAGTAGAGCTGTGGTAGAGTGCTAGCCTTGAGTAAAAGAGCTCAGGGACAGCACCCAGGCCCTGAGTTCAAGGCATACAACTGACAAAAAAACTTAGCCAACTGGATGGACTCAGTCAATTTAGTCTAACTTCTTCCCCACAAAGCCTCACAGCTGTATATCAAGATATTTCTTAATCTAGACAGGTTGCTAAGAAGGTAAAGAAAATATTTTTCATGAGCCATAATGAAGACATTTAATATCTCCTTTTCCTACATACCTACAATCTTTGTTACAGTGTCAGGCGATACCCTCAACATTCTCAGATTTGAAGAATGATGTTCCGAGTCTCTAGTTGGCTCATATGGAGCAAATGAAGGCAATGTAGATGAAAAGGACTGATTAATGCACAAATTAGAATGACTTACCTATTAAAAAAGGAATAAATATAAGATTAATTTCAGATTTCATTGGATAAAAAACTTCAGTTTTAAAAATAAACATTGAGCAGTTTTAAAATGTACTTAAGATTATAGTTATAACCCTCCTGAATTCGTACACAGTTCATATCTTGTTTAGTAAATTCTGAGAAGACTCTACAACAAAGATGTATCCAATCTAAAATGGTAGCAATACTGAGAAGACTTCTTGACACAAAGTACACTCTTTTTATTATATTTAAGTAATTGTACAAGGGGGTTGCCATTTAACAAAGCAGTTTATGAATTTATCTTGATCAATGACATGCCTTTCAAAATTCTCACCCATCCCTTCCTGACCTTCCCTCACTCTTGTTAATTTTGTAGGATATACATTAAATTCTTGACTGTATTTCCCCACCTTCTCCTCTTCATTTCTCTATCCCTTTCCCTTTGACCCCACCCCATCCCTTTCAAGTACTCATTTTCTGGTGTTTATTTCATTGAACTTTGAGTTGGCCTTTCCAAGGAATTACACTATTGGAGTTCTCCTTTGAATCTACTGTATTTTAGCTAATACTTACATATCACCCAACATATAAGTTTATAAGCTAAATCTAGTTTCCACATATAAGGGAAAACACGTATCCCCTTTGTTTCTCTGGGCCTGATTTACTTTACTGAACATAATTATTTTCCCACATACAAAGTACAAACTTAAGTTTTAATTCATCCCACTCGAGTCTTTTTTTAGTATAGCTCATTTATATATGTATGTATTAATCATGATACATAGATATTTGTAGCATCCAAATTAACAAGAAACCTTAGCTTAGGAACAGTGCACAGGATCCTGAGTTCAAGCCCCAGAACTGCTCCAAAAGATGGCCTTTTTCAAGACACCACAGAACACTCTTGTTTTTGTAGTTGTTGTTGTTGTTGTTGTTGTTTGGTGGTAGTCCAGGGCTTGAACTCAGAGTGAGGTTCTGTCCCAGAGGTTCTTAGCTCAAGGGTAAGGCTCTGTTATTTGAGCCACAGCTTCATTTCCAGCTTTTTGTTGGTTAACTGGTGGTAAGAATCTCACAGACTTTCCTGCCTGGGCTGGCTTCAAACCTTGATCCTCAAATCTCAACCTCCTGAGTAACTAGGATTGTAGGCATGAGCCACAAGCACCTAGCTTGAACACACTAACTCTTATAGTTTGAAACAAACGCTTCTTTTACATATTCCTAGATGTCAGAGAAGACCAAAGTATAAATCACAAGTAGGTATTAGAAGATATAAGTGGCTGCTTTACTTTCATTATCACTTTTCAACTAAAATATTTCTTTTCCTACCAATGAGAAATGTCAAGTAGAAAAACTTACAAGTTTGTTCTCCTTAGATGATGATTGTAAAGTAGGCTGCCAATTCAAGGAGCTCTCACAAAGATCATCAAGCAAGTTCTCTAAAGTTGCTAGCTCAACATACTCACTAGTAGCTAAATTATATTGATCACATGTCTAGGAAATAGTAAAAAAGTAAAATAACATTTCTAAAACAATACTAGAAAAGAATATATTTTCTACAATTATTTTATTGTGTCTTACTTTTCCTTGTAGTTCAACTTTTTCACAGCACACAACAGCATGTTCATCAAGGCTACGGCATTTACTGTCACCATCCAGAGTAATCACGTCAGACTTAGCCTTCCCATGCAGGTCCTCTACAAAACAGGAATAATTTTGCATAATTGCATGTATAGTAAAACATATTGTATGTATAGTAAAAACTGCTCCTATGGGCCGAGGAATTTCATGCTGGCCTATATCAGCTTTCAGCAATGTCTCTTGGCCAACTACAATTTATGATTTAATGATACATTACCAGTCAGTGATAAAGTACCTTGTGACTTTGCATCATATGCCACCAAGTTTGCTGAAAAGCTGTTTTCTGCAGCTGCAGATACCTTCAATGGCATTACTACAATTTACATCCTTACCCAAATTATGGTCTGAGGAATCTGCAACTTCTTCAAAGGTCTGCTGCTTTAAATCTTGTTTCATTGGACAAATAATGTTTGAAGATCCTACCTTCTTTGCAAGATCAAGACCAGAAATGGACTTTATCTTCCCAAAGGGAAGAAATGATTCATTGTATTTATCACACTGAAATAATGCTGACTGTGTTTTCCCTTGACCAATAGCCTGGTTGTAAGATTTTTCACTTAAAGAATCAGATGGTTTAAGCTCTGAAATAACAAAAAGTGGCTTAATGAACATGTTCTGAGGAGCATTAGGGGGTGATTTTATATTTGGATACCAATGTAGGGAGCTATCATCATATTCTTTAGGCAACAATGATTCCGAATCTGCCGGTTCAAACACCCCAAGAGCAGACTGATAGTTTGGATGCTTAAACTTATCAAAGAAAGAATTTTCATCAGGATAGTTTAATTGGGAAAGATCTGGATTTGGGGGTTGTCTCTCTTGGCTGTCATCTGTTAAAGATAATCTTTTTATTGATATCAGTTTGGATTTCACTTACAGTACTCTCTATCTTTGTAGACTCAATAGAGGCAATAACTGCCTCAAAAGCTACATTTTCAGTAGCATCAATATTATTCTCACCAAAAATAGAAGTTGCCTTTTGGTTTCTTTCCTCTTCAAAATACAGTGGCTCTGATGTCTCATCCAACTGGACTTCAACTGTCTGAAGAGAACCACTAGAAGCTTCTGTCTTAGAGATATCATGTCCCCTGGAGAGTATATGAGCTTCTGAAAACCGTACAGAATTATCCACAACTACAACATTCTCAGCATAATTCATCTCTGGAGATGTGGGATGTACCTCTGAAGATGCCAAATTACTTCTACTCTCATTTTGTTCAAAATATCGGGACAACTCTTTCTGCAGATCTTCATTTCCTTCATATCCCTCCAAAAAATCCATCTTTTGTTTCACCTCATTCTCAGCTGGAACTCTTAAATCAACATTCTCAAAATAATGATTTTCAGGGTCCAAAGGGGCCTCCTTTTTTCCTCGTCTTTCCAATAAACATCGCAGAAAAGAATATGACCTTTTACTATGAGGAGGAGTAGCAACTTCTTGTGGAAAACAAATGTTGTCTGTACTGTTTAGACACGTTTCTGCTTGCTGCAAAGCTTCCTCTTTCCAACACTGCACATGTTCAGAAGAAGCATCAAAACTGTCATTTGACTTAGTAGCTATGTTGTCATCACTAATGGCAGATAAAGTTGAAACTGAAACTTGATCTTTATCAGCTAAATTGTTTTCTGACTGCTTTGTATCTTTTCCTAGATTCCATGACATACATGAACAAAGAACATTGTAACTGTCAACTTCTTTGGGAGTTTTTAGGTCATTAACAACATATTCTTCACTCTTTTGTTCAGGAGATAAACAAGAGTGCTGAGACCCAATATTTGTGCTACTTAAAAGAGGATACTGAGATACACTAAAGCAACTGTTAACCAAATCTGAAGATGCTTCTGAAGTAGCCTGGAGCAAAGCTTCACTAACTTCTGATGGTCGAGAAAACCATTCAATATCTTCAGATTTATCAGGAATGCCTCTGAAAATATACAGTTGAAAATAAATAACATATTAACAGAACTTTTAAGTACTACTACAAAAATATAAACCTGATGCCGCTGAAACCGTTTATTTGAAAGCATGTTAAAAATAATAATAATAATCATAATAATAAACAACATTTGACCAGGTGCTATTGGCTCATGCCTGTAATCCCAGCTGCTCTGAGGCTGAGATCTGAGGATTGTGATTTAAAGCCACCCCAGGTAGGAAAGTAGCATGAGACTCTTACTTCCAAGTAACCACCAAAAAACAAGAAGTATGTTGAACTGTGGCTCAAATGATAGAGTGTTAGCTTTGAGCAATAAAGCTTAGAGACACACCCAGGCTCTGAGCCAGGCCCCAGGACTGGCACCAAAAACCAAATTAAAAAGAAAAAAAAAAAATCTAATTTTAACTTCTTGAAAGGTGACTAGTGAATGAATAAAGAAAATTTTGTGACCAGAAAGTAAACTACCATCCTGTTTTCCAGATATTATCTCAGACTTCTCCTAAAATAGAAAATAATCTGATTTCCCATTACTCAAAACAAATTTTATAAAGAAAAATTCAAACTAATCTCTTAATAAGCTCTACTGTTTTAAGTGCTCATTCAATACTATTTAATATTCATTATACATACATAGACTTATCGACTACTCATCTATCATTTAGTGAAAAAAATCAAATGAGCTACTCCCAAAATGAAACAGTAACTTAATCATTGGTTGACAATCTAGTGTGCACAGAGCACTCTTCATAAAAGTACCAAAAAAGTAATGTATAGCATAAGAGGCAAAAGGACATTTTTACTATCCAAATATCTATAGTTTTTAATTAAAGGTGAATTTTTATTTCAGTTCTAAAAAGACATGTTTATGGATAGATAGTTCAAGGTATGGTTTGAAGAATTCTTTCCCATTATGATTTTTCTAAAAGAAAAATCTTAAAATTTTTATTACTTCAGATTCATATGTACTACAAGGTAAGATGAACTAAGCTGACCTACTAACAGCTGACCAAAATAAAAGAGTAGAAAAAGTTTGTAATCTAGAAATTAATGCTTTGTTGCAGAATGAGGGTGAGGGAGGAGGAAGATAATACCAGAATAATGAGGAACCTTAGAATAAGGAAAATCTAGTGTACCTAACAAATTCAGTGTGCTTGAAATGCTAAGATACTTTAGAAATGTTTTTAAATAAACTACAGTTACCTAGCACATCTCTACAGATATATTACTGCCATATTAATACTTATCATTTAGGACTTGTTATCTTCAGAGTGTATGGTAAGAAAATCTAATCCCAACTTCAAAATTCAACCTTAGACTGAAGTCATTAACAACAACTTATCATAAGAAACAGTAGAAGCTGGACACCTATGGCTCACGTCTTTAATTCTAGCTACTCAGAAGGCTGAGATCTGAGGATCAAGGTTTGAGACCAGCTTGGGCAGGAAAGTCCATGAGACTCTTATCTCCAATTAACCACCAAAAAGCCAGAAGTGAAACTCACTCAAGTGGCAGAGCACTAGCCTTAAGCAAAAACAAGTTCAGGGACACACCCTGAGTTCGAGTCCCCCAAAAAAGAAAAATGGTAGAAAGATTAAAGAAAAATAAACCACCCTACCTCAGAGGTGCAAAATCTAGTTCACTTTGGTGAAATAAGGAATCAGGCCCAAACTCCTGGTCTTGTGTCAAACATGTCAGCAAAGGCAAATCAGGAGTAGCAAAGTCATCCTGTATTACTGGAAAGTTTCAAATACAAAAGTACTGACAATTTGAAATTAATTCTTTGGCTTATTTATGAAATACTTTAAAAAATATCTAAATATGCTATCTGAAAGTATCTACAAACTTTAGAATAATAACAGCATCAGCTACCATTTATCGATCCTGACATTGTCCAAGCACTTAACATACAACATTTTATTGAATATTCATCATAACCTTGAAATGATAGGTACTATTAAACTTACCTTATAGGTAAAGAAACATGATTAACAAAGTTTAAGAAGTATTAAGTAATTTGCCCATATTTAAATATCTTAAGCATCAGAATGAAATTTTATAAATATTCTCTTTAGCAAATATGAAATTGAGTACTTCTTAACTATTATAAGCATTGTTCCAGCTTGAATAACATAAAAACTTAATATTCCTTATATCAAAATAATTCAGGGACTCTTGGGCCCTAATAAATTCTTAAGAAGTAACTAGGATCAAAGTTAGATTCAACATACTATGAAAAGATCATATGCAGCTAGGCACCACTGGCTCACACCTATAATCCTAGCCACTAAGGAGACTGAGATCTGAGGATCCTGGTCTGAAGTTAGCCTGGGCAGGAACACTTATGAGACTTTTCTCCAATTAACACCCAAAAAAGCCAGAAGTGGAGATAGCTCAAGTGGAGAGCACTCATCTTGAGCAAAAAAGTCCCAGCCCAAGTGCAAGCTAAGGACAGGCACAAAAAAAAAAAAAAAAAAAACATATGCAACCAAGTACTAGCAGCTCACACCTGTAATCCTAGCTATTCAGGAGATTAAGATCTGAGAATCAAGCTATTCAGGAGATTAAGATCTGAGTATCAAGGTGAGAAGCCAGATAACTAGCAATAGAAATTATGCATAGAATACTATGCAATGGTATTATCTTGAATGAATAATTTTTTTAATTGCTCAGCTTTAAAAATCCAAGAGTCCATCACTGTGAAGATTAAAAGGTGTTTGTGACTTTAAAATAAACAAATAAATAAATAATCCAAGAGTTGGAAATCAGGAAGATAGTGGTTAGAGGATAGCCCAGAGAAAATATTTGTGAGATTCCCATCTCAACTAATAACAACAAAAAGCTGGGTATAGTGGATGTACCTGTCATCCCAGCTATGTTAGAAGCTTCAACAGGAGCGTCTCCAGGCTAGAGGTGTAGCTCAAGTGGTAGAGAACCTGCCTAGTAAGCACAAACCCCAGTACCATTAGAAACAAAAGCAAAAGCAAAAAATTTATCAGCTTTAAGTTCTAATGTAGGAAATATCAATAATCCAGATAAACAAAATTCTTCGAAGTTGTGTTTAAAATGTGTAAGGGAGACAAGCTTGACTGACTCTTGCCTGAAATCCTAGTTATTCAGGAGACTGAGATCTGATGATCACAGTTGGAAGCCAGCCCAGGTATAAAAGTCTGTAAGACTCTCATCTCCAATTAATCACCAAAAAGCTGGAAGTAGAACTTCTGGCTCAAGTGGTAGAGCATTAGCCTTCAGCACAAAAGCTTAGGGATAGAGCCTGGTGCCAGTGGCTCACACCTATAATCCTAGCTACTCAGGAGGCTGAGATCTGAGGATCACAGTTCAAAGCCAGCTTGGGGAGGAAAAGTCCATGAGACACCTCTCCAATTGACCAGCAGAAAACAAGAAATGGCACTGTGGCTCAAAGTAGTAGAGTGTTAGCCTTAAGCAAAAGAGCTCAAGGACAGTGCCCAGGCTCTGAGTTCAAGCCCCACAACAGATATGCATACATACATATATACACACACACATACATACATACATACATACACACACACACACAAACACATACACTCCTATCCCATTGCCCTTACATATGTACAAAACAGACATAAAGTCTTTATTCTCTATTCAATCATACAACTATAAAACAATATTAGTGGAAATAAAATTTTATTTGTGGCCAGGTGCTGTTGACTTACAGCTAGGGGCAATCCTAGCCACTGAGAGAAGGTCAAGATCTGAATGGTCATAGTTATAAGCCAGTGCAGGCGGAAAAGAAAAGTCTGCTAAATTCCCTCCCAAAATAACCAGCAAAGAGCAGGAATGGAGACATGTCTCAAATGGTAGAGAGTCAGCAGAGCAAAGAGAGAAAGTATAAGACTCTAAGTTCAAGCCCCAGTAACTCCAGAAAAAAATTTATGAAGAAAACACATTTGAAATTAATTCAACTTTGCAACTATTTTCCTAAAACTAAAATCATTTTTCTCAATACAAATGTAATATTGATTTCTACAATATACTTTCTTGATTTTAGAATGTCTACAACTGCATACAAACTGAGGATTCCATCCTCAAGCCACTGTTCTCAATGAGTGTTCACAGAGCTCACTATGTTGTCTTCTGCCCTGAGTGTACCAGTACATTCTCACTGCTCTCATTCCCTTCACATTTTCCCAATTCTTCACTGTCATTTGAATCTTCAGTCTGTTTGCTTCTCCCAATCGATGCCTACTTCATTCACAGCGCAATCCCAAGTGAAATATCTGCTACACTTAGTTAGAACTCAGATTTATTTATTTACTGAATTTAATGAGAAATTGAGCTGGATTCAGGCTCATAATCCTAGCAGCTCAGGAGGCTGGGACCTGAGAATTATGGTTCAAAGCTAGCCCAGGCAGAAAAGTCATAGACTATCTCCAACTAATCAACTCATAGTGAAATCTTTAACCCAGTACTGAAATCCTTCTATCATAGAAATTTGTATTACAATTTTGTTAAGACATTTTGCTGTGGCATAAATTCACTTTACTGTTATATTTCTTCTTATAGACATTTTTCGGGTATCAAATTGATCAACAGCTCAGTTTAAGCTATATGAGCTCATTTTAACTTGAACACTGAGTTAGCAAACACTTTGTAAAGGGTCAGAGAATAGATACTAGGTTTTAAATATTAGGTGGATAAAATACAGACTGTTACACATTACATATTCTTTGTTTTTACAATTGTTTAAAAATGACAATGGTGGAGCACATAGCTCAGTGGCAAAGGATTTGCCTAGCACGTATAAGGCCTGGGTCCAATCCCCAGTACTACAACAACAGTAAATAAAAATGTAGCTGGGCATGCTGGAAAAACGAAGCACTGGGAGGCTCAGATACAAGGATCTTGAGTTTAAGGCAAGCCTGGGCTACATAGAAAGTTTCAAGCCAGCCTGAGCTATTATAGATCAAGATCCTGAAGGGGGAAAAAAAAAGTACATTCTTGGCTTAGACAGTATAAAATCAAGCCTTAGTGTGTGGGCTGTAGTTTATAGACTTGCCCTCCAGATCATCATAATACCTCATTCCACTGTATTGTTCTTTTCTGAATAATCTTTTTTACTGAATAACGTGTTTACTGAATAACCTTTCGAAAAGAGAAGGAGGTAACTTCATCTTTCTGTCCCTAGCATCAAATAAATACAAATTGGGCAATTATGGACACTTACATTTATGAATGAATTAAAAATGGGTTGCTTCCTCTTTAGTATGACAGCCTTGCAAATGTGATTACATCTACCAAACTCCTCCCAAAGGTACTCTTAATTTTGTAAACATTTTTCTCAAAACACAGACATAAAACTGACTTTAATGTCATTAAGAACTGATTGTCAATCCTAGAATGTTAGCACTAAATATGTTGATTTGGACAGCATTGGCATATTTGAAAAGAACTTGCTGAATTCAGTCCTATTCATGCTAATTTACAAAACTCTATAAAACCATTTGAAAGATACTTTAAAGTTTATTTTTGGTAAGAAGCTAATAAATCTGTTTTATACCAAAAAAAGGAAAGTAGTAAGATCTTCTCAGATAAAGCAAGCCACTTAATCTCTTTCTCCTAATTTTTTGGTCCCAACCTGAAGATAATATATGCCTTAATTCTTAACTCTTCAACTGAACATTTCATATATAACTACACTAGCCGCTCAATGTGAAAAATCAAAAACTAATTCCTTCGAGTATAACTCTATAGAGATCTTCAACTCAAAAAGTCTTAGCCCCCCCAAAAGTGTTTTACAAATGTGAGACGTTGCTACTAGATAAAAATACAGAAGCATTACCTAGCAGTGGAGAGCTCAATTTCTTCACTTGGCCTTCTGATTGGGTCAACACACCTTCTTCCAAAAAGGAAGACTCGGTCACTTTAGATCTTTCTGCTTTCAAATTAATCCTGGTCTGGGATGTATCCAAGCTTTGAGGAGAAGACTTTTTTTCTTGTAGAAGACCATGCCAAGATTCCATTCTCTAAAACATTAATTTTAAAAGAAAATATGCTGTCATTAATTGAGTTAACATATATATTAAAATGTTCACTCATGGCCTAGAGCCAGTGATTCATAGCTATAATTTTAGCTACTAAAGAGGCTGAGATCAGGAGAATCTCAGTTCAAGGACAGTACAGGTAAAATAGTTCTAGAGACCGCTTTTTAAACCAATAGCTGGGCACAGTGGTTCATGCCTATCATCTCAAGCTACGTAAGAAGCTGAAATTGGAAGGATCAGGATTCTAAGCCAGCCTAGAGAAAATCTGTAAAAGAGTCTATCTCCATACAAGGCACTGGTGGCTCACACCTATAATCCTAACTATTCAGGAGGCTGAGATATGAGGATTGTGGTTCAAGCCAGCCCAGACAGTAGAGTCTCTGAGATTCTTATCTCCAATTAACCACCAGAAAACCGAAAGTGGTGCTGTGCTGTGGCGCAAGTGGCAGAGCCTTGCCTTGAGCTGAAGAGCTCAGGGACAGCACACACACACACACCCAGAGTTCAAGCCCAATGACAGACAAATAAATAAAGGATAGAGTGTGGCTCAAGTGGTAAAGCACCTGCCTGGCAAGTATAAAGCCAGTGGTCAGATCCCAGAGTACTGGGGGATGAGGAGAGAGACCTAAAACATGTACAGACAAATGCCTCTGTTGTAGAATTAGGAAGCAATCGGATCTGTGGCTGGCTATGTCTTGCATGTCTCATTCCTAAATTTTTTAAACGATATGCAAAAAAAAATTTTTTTGGCAAACCACAGTCATATTCTGGTTAATATCTTACAAACTATGATTTGAGAAGAAGTAAAATCAGCAAAGGACACTGAGAAAGAATAGCTGTAAGAGGAGAAACAAAATCAGAAAAAGTCAAGAAAAAGTGATTTTAAGAAGTTCTGCAATTATTAATATTACCAAATATTATACATTAAACCTAAGGTTAAAATACAACAATATTTACTATATTCAGCAACACAAATGTAGCTACAAAAGTATTTATCATATTCAACTACCCAAGTGTTGCTTTCATAGGTGTAGGGTCAGAACACAAAGTAATCAGTAAGCAGAACCTAACCAGTACAGTAACAGTTAAGGGGGGGGGGGGATGAAGAGAGTGAAATATAAGGCAAATATATTTTTAAAAAAAAAGAAATATAGCTGATATGAAACATAGAAAGTCCTTAAAATATATAAAAACTTGTAAAACTAGTCATTGAGGTTAGCAAGGTCACAGGCTCCAAGATCAATGTCTATTTCTATAATCATGTACTGAACTACAAAAAAGTAAAAATTTTTACATCAATTAGTCTAACAGACTATGTAAGCCTAATACAATGAAGATAAAATACTGACAAGCCAGATGCTGATGGGTCACTCTGATAATCCTACCTACTCAAGAGGCTAAGATATGAGGATTGAGGTTTGAAGAATAACCAGGGCAGGCAAATCCAAGCTCTAATTCACCAGCAAAAAGCCAGAGGAAGAGGTGTAGCTCAGTGGAGTGCCAGCCTTGAGCAGAAAAACTAAGCAAGATCTCAAGGCCCTAAGTTCAAGCCCCTGTACATCTAAATAGTTTAGTGAGTCATTAATATTGTTAAGATGTCAATTCACTCCAAATTGATTTATGTAACCAATAAAATCTTAATCAAAATGGCAGCAGGCTCTTTAAATAGAAATTGACAAATTAATACTAAAATCTGTAAATTTCGAGAATCTAGCATTAAAAGTTTGTTGTTGTTTTTTCCTAAAAAAGGATGTGGGAAACTTACTATTTGATTTTAGAACAGTACAATAATTAGGAGAATGACACTAGCATAAAGATAAATCAGTGGAACACAGAGAGGAGAAATAGGCCCATGTATATAAGGTTAGTATATTTTTAACAAGATGTGAAGAAACCCACCAAAGAAAAAAATACCTCATAGTGCTAGACTAACACATAGATATTAAGAAAATATAGTTAAAACCAGGTACTAAGCCGGGCGCCGGTGGCTCATGCCTGTAATCCTAGCTACAGAGGAGCAGAGATCTGAAGATCACAGTTCAAAGCCAGCCCAGGCAGAAAAGTCCATGAGACTCTTATCTCCAATTAACCACTAGAAAACTGGAAGTGGTGCTGTGGCTCAAGGGGTAGAGCGCTCGCTTTGAGCTGAAGAGCTGAGGGACAGCACCCAGGCCCAGAGTTCAAGCCCCACAACTGCCAAAAACAAAACAAAACAAAAACAAAAAACAGGTACTGGTGGCTTAATCCTAGCTACTCAGGAGACTGAGACTTGAGGATCACAGTTCAAAGCTAATCTGAGCAAAAAGTGTCTGTGAGACTCTTCCTCAAAAAAAAAAAAAAAAAAGCTGGATGCAGAACTGTGGCTTAAGTGGTAAAATGCTAGCTCTGGGCACAAAAGCTCAGGAACAGCACTGACAGACTAAGAGACACACAGACACACAGACACACACACACACCAAAAAACAAAAACAAAAACCCAGAACAACAATGAATACACAGATCTGCTTATATACATTTTTTGATATATATGTTACATATTATAGTATACTATACTATATATCATCAGCTCATTAGACAGATTATCAACTCATAGATAGTGACTCACACCTGTAATTACAACTATTTGGGAGTCAGAGAAAAGAAAGATTGAGATTTAAGGCCAGCCTACGCAAACTGACAGCAAGATTGCATCTCAACCAAGAAGCTGTACATTGGTGCATACCTGCCATCCCAACTACTCAAAAAACTTATGAGGAGCCAGGTGCCAGTGGCTCATGCCTGTAATCCCTAGCTATTCAAGAGGCTGAGGTCTGAGGATCATGGTTCAAAGCCAGCCCAGGCAGGAAAGTTCCTGAGAAGAGTCTCCAATTAACCACTAGAAAACCAGAAGTGGTAGAGTGTTCGCCTTGAGCTGAAGAGCTCATAGTGCCTAGGCTCAGAGTACAAGACCAACCAAAAAAAAAAAAAAAAAAACCATAGGTAGAGAGTGCTCCAGGGCTAAAAGATGACTTCCTAAGTGAAAAATAGGAAATAACAAAAATAGAAGTTTGGCTCTAAAAGGTATGGCATGTATAAAGCAAGAAGTGTTGAGTTCAAACCCCAATACCACCAAAAAGTTCACCTGACAAAGTATACACTTAAAAGAAAGATTATCGCTACATTTGATTTAGACAACAATAAAGTTGACTTTGAAAATGTGACAGAAAGATAAAGAAACACAGAAAATATTAATATATTTTTCACCTACTCATAGCAAACTTCTTGTGCTGCTAATCAAAAAACAAAAATAGTTTACCAGTTGATCTACAAACATACCTGATCATCCTCAGAACTCCACTGGCTTGTTGTTTCCAATGAGACAAAACTGGTATCAGAACTTTGTGTTCTAACATTGCCTTGATATAATGGCTGTTGCCATATATTACAGGTCAGTGGAACAATCTGCAAACCAAAAGCAAACATAAACAGACTAGTAACACTTAGTACTAAAGAAAGAAATTAAAAATCAGAACAACAATTAAGTAATGACAAAGTCAGATGTCACATAGGTTCTCTAAGGTATATAAACCAACTCTCATATAGGTTTAGGGCTAAAATTTATACCTCTTCTGTATAATGTCCCAACCTACAAAATCAAATTCAATTTCAGAAGCAAAACAGGTGAGGAAAAAAAGCACAGAAAAACAGTATTAAAAAAGACAAAATAAGATGGATGAAATTGTTTATCTGCAATAATGGTATATAAATGTACTAATTCATTTGTTTAAAGAAGCCACATTTTAAGTATGTTATTTGTAAACTTACATTATTTAGAACAAATATAACTAAGTCATAAAAAGACCAAAATTTAAAAAAAAAGTATAGAAAACAGTATGGTTAGAGTCAAGCTACACTGGCTCTTATCTATTATTCTAGCTATTTTGGGAGCTGATATCATGGTTCATGGCCCAGCCAGGAAGAAAATTTCACAAGAACCTTCTCAATCATACCAGGATGCAGTAGCACACACCTGTTATCCTAGATACCTAGGAGACTGAGATCAGAAGGATCATGTTCCTGGTAAGCACAGTCCAAGATACTCGGTCTCAATGGAAGATGGCCATGGTTGCACCTGTTATGCCAGCTTACATAGGAAGCCTGCAAGAGGCAGACTGTGGTCCAGATGCACATGTAAAAATAAAAGCTCTATCTCAAAAATAATCAGCACAGAAAAATTGGGTGACCACATGCAGAAAACTAAAAGTGGGCCCTAGCCTGCCACCATGCACTAACATCAACTCAAAATGGATTAAAGATCTTAACATCAAACCTGACACTCTGAAAGTACTTCAGGACAGAGTAGGAGAGACACTTGAACTTATAAGGACAGGTATGAACTTCCTGAACAGAGTCCCAGGGTCAAAACAAATTGGAGAGACTCAATAAATGGGACTATCAAAATAATAAAGTTCTACACAGCGAAAGAAAGAGCAACTAAACTAGAAAGACAGCCAACTAATTGGGAAAAAATATTTACCAGCAATATATCAGACAAGAGCCTAATATCCATTAAATACAGGGAACTCAAGAAACTAACCCCTCCCAGATCTAACTAACCAATCATTAAATGGGCAAAGGAGCTAAAGAGAGACTTCTCAGAAGATAAAAATAGCAAAGAAACACATGAGAAAATGTTCATCATCCCTGGCTCCAAAGATACACCTTACCCCAATCAGAGCGGCCCACATCCTAAATTCAGCCAACAATTATTGCTGGTAGGAATGCACACTAATACAACCACTTTGGAAAGCAGTCTGGAGGTACTTCAGAAAGCTAAATATAGACCTCCCCTATGACCCAGCCATACCACTCCTAGGCATCTACCCTGAGCAACAGGAACCAAGATACAAGGACACATGTACCTCCATGTTCATTGCAGCACTGTTCACAGTAGCCAATATATGGTAACAACCCAGATGCCCCACTACAGATGAGTGGATCCAAAATTTGTGGTACCTATATACCATGAAATATTATGAAGCCATTAGAAAGGACAAAATAATGGAATATACAGGGAAATGGATGGAACTAAAAAAAATCATTTTGAGCATGGTAAGCCAAGAGCAAAGAGGCAAATGGCACATGGTCTTCCTAATAAGTGGATGCTAAAGTCAAAATGCAAGATGACAAAGTAAACAGGACTCGAGAAACAAAGGACTTCCACTCATTTTGTCATATCATTGCTAAATGACTCCATGTTCTTGACCACATATATGGTATATGTGTGCACACATCTGAGGGAAGGTAGGAGGACACAGAATCAGAGGGAAATGGGAAAACATAAAACATTTTAATTTCATCTTTTTCCTACTTCACTTTAAAATATCCTGTTAGATGCTCCTTGAATTTTAATTGTGTCCTATTAATTTAGTCACATCCTTTTACAACTGTGAACCTAACAGAGCTTTCCCAATCTAAGCAGAGGGGCTGGACCTATTGGGTTAGAGATAAAAAAGAAGCAGCCTGCCCATTCACAGTGTACTTGCTTGCCAGATTTCTGACTGATGGCACATCCTTCTACAGAAGTAAACTTTGCCTTTCTGAATTCCTTTTAAGTTAGTGTCCTTATTCATATATAGCACCCCAACACCCTGAGACATTTCTAACAGAATACCAAAAGCCCTGAGATCAAACCTAAGTACCACCAAAAAAAATTTTAAGGAAAAGAAATTCAAAAAAGAACAAAGAAAAAAAAAACAGAAAATAATAAACTTAAAAAAAAAAAAAAGAGCCAGACAGTGGTAGCTCATGCCTATATAAGTTTAGCTCAGCCAGTGGCTCACGCCTATAATCCTGATCTGAGGATCGCAGTTCAAAGCCAGCCTGGGCAGGATAGTCTGTGAGACTCTTATCTCCAATAAACCACTAGAAAACCAGAAGTGGTGCTGTGGCTCAAACAGTAGAGTGCTTGCCTTGAGCTGAAGAGCAGAGGGACAGCACTCAAGCCCAGAGTTCAAGCCCCACAACCAACCAAAAAAATAATAATAAGTTTAGCTCTTCAGGAGGCTGAGATCTGAGGATCACAGTTCAAAGCAAGTAGGACAGGCAAGTCCCTAAGACTCTCATCTCCAATTGAACATAAAAACTGGAAGTAGAGCTGCAGCTCAAGAGTTAGAGCTCTAGCCTTGAATGAGAAAGTTAAGTGATAGTATCAAGGCCCTAAATTCAAGATCCAGTACCAGCAATGATAATGATGATGATGACGACGACGACGACGACGACGACGACGACGACGAAAAAATTGTAAAAAAAAATAAAGATATGATCAACAAATTGCTGTGATTTCAACATATAATTGATCCTGGCATTAATTCTGGCTCTTAAGAGGCAGATGCTACAGTATTTCAAGATGAAGGCCAGCATAAACTAGGTAAAGACCTTCTCAAAAACAAAAATCAAACTAGCACCAGTAGCTCATGCCTATTAGCCTAGATACTCAGAAGGCTGAGATCTAAGGATCATGATTCAAAGCTGGCATGAGCAGGCAAGTTCATGAGACCTTTATCTCCCAATTTACCACAAAAAAGCCAGAAATGAAGCTATAGCTCCAATAGTAGAGCACCAGCCTTAGGTAAATAAAGCTCAGGGACCCTGCCTAGGCCCTGAATTCAAGCTCCAGTAAATCTCTCTGTCTCTGTCTGTCTGTCTGTCTGTCTGTCTGTCTGTCTGTCTCTCTCTCTCTCTCTCTCTCACACACACACACACACACACACACACACACACACACAAAACGGTAACCCTGGCTATCAAAGATTGAGATTCAAGGGGCTGGGAAGGTGGCTCAGTGGTAGAGCGCTTGACTTGCATGCGTGAGGCCCTGGGTTCAATTCCTCAGTACCACATAAGCAAAAAAAAAAAAGCTATAAGTGGCACTGTGGCTCAAGTGGTAGAGTGCTAGCCTTGAGCTGAAGAGCTGAGGGACAGTACCCAGGCACAGACTTCAGGCCCCACAACCGGACCCAAAAAAAAAAAAAAAAAAAAGATTGAGATTCAAAGGATCCTGTTTTAAACTAGCCCACACGAAAAGTTCAAGAGACCCTTCCCAACCAGAGTAATTCATCTGTCATCTCAAGTACAAGGGAGGCTGAGATCAAGAGGGGATATCATGGTTCAGGCAACACGGGCCAAAAGAAAAAAAAAAGTTCATGAGTCTTGATCTGAATAGAAGCTGGACACTGTGGCACATGCCAGTTATCCCAGTATAGAAAAAAAAAAAGCGTAAAATAGGAAGATCATGGTCTATGCAAGAACCCAAGCAAAACAGAAAACTCTATCCCAAAATAATCAGTACAAAAAAGGGCTAAATCATTGCTCAGGGGTAAGAATGTCTGCCTAGCAAAATTGACAAAGTCCTGTGTTTAAATTCCAACACAACCAAACATTTTAAAAAAGAAAGACTTAAGAGGGAAATGTTTATAGCAATATGAGATTCACAAAAAGTGGACAACTTTCAAACGAATATATATTAAGAAATGAATTGTTACTAATCAAAATCAATCAAATAAATTAAATCAACAATAAAAAAAATCTTTCAAAGTGACACTAAATTCAACCAAAGACAAAATGAGAACAAGATGGTATACTAGTAAGTTCCTGGCACTCATTTAAGTAAATACCACATAAGTAACAAAGTCCTGTGTTAACCCTAGAATTCAGAGAAGCTGCAGAACCAAGTGTATGTTTAAGCAAGAAAGAGATATACTCAAAAACACTAGTGAATTTAATGGTGCTTTTTCTCATGCTTGTCCCACTCACAACCCACCACAACATGAAAAGTAGGGAAGAAGTTACCTCATTTCCATTTTTAAATCAGGATGGAAGGAGTAGAACTTGCAATGAACTAGCTTGTCTTGAGGCTGACAAGGGATTTGTTTCTGTCTCACCTAACTCAGAACACTGCTAGGAATAGGTATGGTTTAAATTTCAGGTTGAAGATCACTATAAGCTCTGGTGGACCTATGGCATGAGAGTTGCAGGGCCTCAACACTGCACAGGTAGTGGAAGAGAGAGATTATAGGTAGAATATAACAGAAAAACTCAAGCCATCAGGAAAGCAAGTATGAAACTTTGGGGGCAATAAAAAAATTTTTAATTGAACATATGGAAGAACTGGAATAAAATCACATATACAGATCCATGGTAGACATGCTCAAAAAAGATGTACAAAGGACCATGCATGGTCCTTCACCCCGGCTGATTAGTAAAGATGTTCCCTTTTCACAAAACCAATCTTCAAATACCTAACTTTCAACAAAGCACTTTGAATACAAGAAACAGGAAAAAATGTGACCCATTTGAACAAACAAAATAAAGTCTGTAAAAATTAACCCTAATGAAACAGACGTCTCCGCCTTGCTTAACAAAGATTCTAGAACCTTTAAGCATGTTAAAGGAGGACAAGA